CTTCAGTCCTGACATGCTTGGTGTCCTGGCTGTGGATAAGCCCCAGGCTGTGCTAAGGCTAATGCTAAAGGCGGAGCAGGCAGCCATTAAGACTATAAGTCCTCTGGAGTGGAGCTGAAGAGGCTGCCTGCTGCTTTTCAAAATCCCCCCAGGAGCATGTTCTCACTTTCTGTCTTTTACATCTCTCTCATCTTTTCCAGGCTCTCTTCCTCCCTCTGCACCCTCACTTTCACTTGTCTTGTGAATATCTGTTCAGCTGATGATTTATCCCTTAACTTTTCCATTTTTCTCTCATCCTGTCTTCTTTAAGAAAAAAAATCTCATCCTTCTCTATGTTCGCCTTTTTTTTTTTTTTTTTTTTTTTGCTTTTATTCATTCCTCTTGTGTGTGGCTCTTTCTCCCTGTCTCTTGCCCACTTTTTCTCCCTTTAAAGTGGAGGCATTATATTGTGGCCTAGTAGAAAGCTTGTCAGCTCAGTGGTCATTAAGTAATCATTAGACTATTTTTAAAAAAAAGAAGCCAAAGTCTTAGGCAGAGACCCAGCAGCACCTCTGGCGTTCACACTTCATTTACTGTATGCCTCATTAAAATTAATGTATCTACAGGTTAGTCTGTTGAATATTCATGCAAGCATCAGGTGATTAGAGAGACTGGCATAAATGACTGTAGGGCAAAGAGGTTATGACTGATCAATACAAAGACTGTGATGAAGGCACAAGACGAGAGGGTTGAATCAGATTTTTTTTTTAACCTGAAACTCGATGTATTAAAAGACTTCACCTAAAGCGGCGACAGCACAAAACACACACGCAAGAGAAAAAAAAAAAAAGGAAAATGAACTGCAATTTTCTCCCTTGACAAAGAAAAAAGGATAACTTTTTTTCTTTGATTTACCATCTCTAGCTGTATTCTCCTCTTCTGAGCGCTCGGCCGGGCAGTTTTGTAGATCCTTTGAAGTTATCCTAAAATTTTGTTATGAGCGTGTGCTTGTGTGAGCTGTGGTTGGTATGCTCTGATGTGCCACAGTAGCATCCTTAGCTGTACACTTCTCCTCCCCCTGGACTCAAACTTGTTTTCATCTGCTATGCTTCATAAACAACAATTGTGCAGTGCTGCTTTTGGGATTTGCAGTGCACTTTGCTATCCCCCCCTTTTTTCTTTTTTTTTTGCATCAAAACTGGGCTGTTGTTCGTAGCCTTTATGTACTTGCCTCCACTGATGACTAAATGGAATAAAGACAGTTTTGTCTCAACTCTGCACTTTCCTGTAGCTATTAAACCAGACAATATCCGCACACATGGAGAAGGGATGAGATGAGGGTTCAGTGAGCCAATTAGTGTGACTGCACTGTGTGGATTTGTGTGTACTGTAATGACTGTACATGCCCAGCAAACTGCTGAAACACAGTATTTCCAGTAGAGCCAAGACAATTGTGGACTGAGCCGTGCTCTGTCTCTCATTACATCTCCATTTCATCAAGTAAAATTCATTTCAGGCTTTCTGTGGAGCAAAAATCAGACTTTTTGATTAAACGTTATTCAGTCCTGGATGCTGATGTAAGGTTTAACTGAGCTGTGTGTTTTTTTTGTTTTGTTTTTTTTATTTGAGGATGAGCTCACTGACATTCTTAAATATATCCTGGCCACCCTTGTTGATCATGAAGAAAGCGTTGCCCTGGAAACGGCAGGTGAACAGTGCAAGATGCTGTCGACGTTAATGCTCAAGGTTAAATGAAAAATTGTTATGTTTATTCCGTGAGTTTAAAGAAGAGAATTCAAGTGTTACTACATAAAGAATTCCGTGCGTTGCTGTTCACACCCGACTAACAACTTGACTGGCACGTGAACTAATGCGGAGCAGTGAGAACAAGTGTTTCCAATTACGGATTTGTCTTACTTCGTGGATGAACCCTTGAGGCTTATTAAAGAAACGCTGTAGCCAAAAACGTGTGATGACAGTTAAAAAAAGGTATCGACAGCCTTGCTGACACACAAGAATGCAGAACTACTCTTGCTGTTTAGGGAATGCACATAGATGATAAGCATCCTTGTTAACAATCAACGCTTGAACTGCCTCCCTGTGCTGGTTTTCTTCCCACAACATAATGAATCTTCCCCCATCAGTGCTGCACATAAAAAAGCACTGCACACTGTACGCACATCATCCTGAATTTTTAGCTCGTCTGCTGCTTGCGTCAGCACATGCACTCTTGGTAGGAATGGCTATAGTGTAGCTGACAGAAGGAACTTCGCTCTCTGTGGGAATGGACACGTGTCAGGATTTGACAGGCTGATCTGTGAAGTCGCTTTCACAGCATGAGGATTCTGCAGGGAGCGGAGACTTTTAAGATGTTTTGGCATATGAAAAGATGCATTTTCTTTCCTTTAATTTTTCTTTCTGCTTTTGTGCTCATTGTTCTCAGATTTTCTTTTTCTTCTACTTCTTTTTCTTTGTTTTGTTTTTTTTGTCCCTTCAGTGTATGCTTGACTGAGCAATAATAACTTGTAATAGCTCATGATGCTACTTAATAGCTCTCAAATAATTAGCCTATTTTAGATTTTTAAACGGCATATCTGTAAACACTGATGTACGAAAAAAGGCTTTCAGCCCCCAGTTTTTCTCCTGGCTGCCGATTCAAACTTCAGAATGGAAATGGCAGAGAATCGCTTTGTCCTGTGCCAATCCAATCCTGCATGGTTCCACTTCAGGAGGTTCGGAAGTAATTCTCCTGAAAAAAAAAAGAAAAAGAAAAAAGGATTGCCAGGATTCCACAGGGCTCTACCGCAATTCCGGATAGGGACATTGTCGGGCTTCCTCCCAAGTCTAGTGGGTACAGAGGTAAAGGGGCAATGATGATGACTAATTTAAGATGCTAGCTTTACTCTTACGCAACATGGTGGTCTGACAATGTCTTGTAGACAGGCGTCTTTTGAATGCAGCTAAACACACGCATACTGAATGTACGCGGCAGCTTTGAAATATTACAAACGGCTCTCATTTTAGCATGCGTGCCAATCTGTGGATAAGGATGAGCCTCTCTAGGCAGATGGCTATGACCCTAGGCAGTCAATCATTCAGTCAGTCATAGCAAAGCCTAGCGTGAGCTAGAAGGGTGCATGAATTTGGGGATACAGAAGGTTGTTTTACAAAGGAGAAACATAAAAAGGAATTGGGAAGTTTTAAAAGGAGGTCAGATATAGTTCAAGTTATCAAACGGGAAACAAAATGTACATGACAACTCATTAACATCGAATTAATACAAATGCACTGCATATTGCACATAATATCTGTTTTTATTTACAGTTTGGGGTTTTTTTTTTACAGATATGCTGACTCTCAAAGCATCAATACCCAAATTTTCCTTTGAAAATAAATTTTTCAATAAAATCTTTCTTTTAACTTGGGGGGGAAATGTCAAACTGTGCTTCCATCTCAAAATATAAAAAAGGTTCGGAAATGGTCGGATGGAGGACAAGTGGAAAAAGAATATGGATGTCATCCAGCATTTTATGCCAGCTTTAGGTACTCGACAGTTTTTGATATTCAGTGGAACAGATGCATTGCAGCATTGCCAAAACTGTAGGTTTGAGAATCTATGGTGCTATTTGTGATCTCAAGTATATGATATCTAAGTATCAATTTTGGGGGTTTTTTGTGTCTGTTTAATCTTTATGTTGTTAATTACAATAAAAACTGCATCTATAGATGCATTAAAACAGGCAGTTTTTTTAAAACTGCTGTTTTAATCCATCCAGAAATCACCCATGTCCTTTAGATAATGCTAGCTGATACCTCAAAATGTGTTTTACACTCATTCTGGTGTGAAGAAAGATGGCATTTCCTCAAGATGCATGTCTATAGCTGCTAACATGTATGAAATCTGTTTCCCTGCACACGAGTTCTACCAGTCAAATTGTTGTTGTGCAGATAAGATGGTTAAAACTAGTTATAGAGGTGGTGTGCCAATTCCACTGGGAAAAACTGCTAAAAAATAAACTATAAATGCAAAACTATGCAGACCTGTTTGGCTTAATGTATGAATATTTGATTGCTTGCAAGTACCCCTGTTGTTGTGATTGTTGAAGACAGATCTTCACTGCATTATAACAAGTATTTTCAGGTCTCATGTAAATTACAGAAGCTCTTACATCATGAAAAAATGTGCTTTTCACGACAGGAACGGATAATTATGAGGTGCAGGTGGACATAAGATGTATGAAAACACACAATTTCTGTCCTTGTGTTTTCATACATTCTATGACAAGGATGTTTATGTCTACATGCATTTTTGTGGTTTTCTACATACTTTGTGCTCAACTAATCCCTCTCCCCCCAGGCATTTGACAGTGGGACTCTGGTTGCGGTCACACCTGATGTACCTGCAACTAATCCTATCGCACAACCAATGTCACTGTAACCAATCCTGTCACAGCACTCAGGGCAGCCTCAGTTCCTTCCTGACATCTCAGTCACACCTCACTGTCGTCTCCTTCCTCTCCTATCTGCTCTCTTCCCTCCTTGCTTGACTTTATAAATGGCTTCCTACTTCGTTTACTTTCTGGCAGACTGACAAGACGCCCCCCCCCTCCCCCCCAACTGCTTTTGTCTTATATCTTACTTAATAACGTAGCCCTACTTTGCAATCCACCCCACTACCATTCACCCTTGTCTCTTCTCCTGTTCTGCATCTTATCATACATTTTTACTTTGATACCAGCAGACCTCCCATCCCTGCAGCTTTGGTTTTCTTGACATTTCCCTCTCCTTCCTGTTCCCTTCTTTCTCTCTTTCTTCATCAACCGCTGCACCCACCCACACATCACTATCTTTTCCTGCCCTGGTGCCACCAGAAATAAACCTAGCAACATGTCGTCTGTCACAAAACAGAAATTGCATTGTGTACCTGTCACCAGCGCTCACATTTTCCTATACCCATAGAAATGACTGTCTGCTCCTTTTCCTTTTCTCCCTTTCCCCCCATCTCCCTTCATTCCTTGCAGAGAGTAAGCTGAGAGTGCAAAAGAACAACCAGTCTCAGGTGTACCTGGAAGACAGCCGTGTCAGGATCAATTGCTCCATCACCTCCCAGACCAACCAGGACTCCCAGCATACCGTGATGTGGTACGTGAGACGAGCGACCGGGTCGGAGGCTGATGAGCTCCTGCTGAGGATCGAACGCTCCGGGGCCTTCGAATATGGCGCCTACGCAGATGAGGAGAGACTGAGACGGCGTGTGCAGGCTGAGAGGTTGTCACCCCGTCTGTATGTGCTGACGCTGAACAGGGCTGAAAGCAGCGATTCTGGCACGTACTACTGCTTGGTGGAGGAGTGGCTGAGTGACCCAGATGGAGTCTGGTATCGACTCTCCCGGGATTCCTCGGGGTTCACGCAGGTTCTGGTCAGAAAACCAGGTGAGCAAGCAGTGCTTTTCCCTTTAACCAAATCCATGTTTATTCCCACTGCAGCGAGGTAGCAGCTGCCACTTAAGCCCTACATTTTGTGATCCTTTAAACCACTTAACCATTGTTAACTCAATCCTTCCTCCAACTTGCTTTCCTCCCTCTATGACATGCTATGTCTCACTCCAATGACCTTACACCTGCCCCAGCCAGAGCTCAGGTGGAAAAAGATGGATTGAAGTCATGCCAGCTGATGGAAAACCCTAATCCTCTTGTCCAGAATTCAAAAACTTGAGCTTAAAGCTATGATGTTCCAACTGCCACCTACACTCTGACATCCCACCTCATTACAGTTATTTTAGGAACTCTCCAACTTGTATCTTTTTCCTCTCCCTAACTGAATTTTCCCTTTTCTCATTTACCTAAACCCTCCTACTCTTCATATACAAAGAGATTCTTTGTCTAACCCCATAAATGCCAATAATAACTGAACAGTCCTGCTGAAGGTGACTTTTCAGGCACTTGGGGAGCAGTACTCATCTGCCAGGTGTGCTGTTTACAATGCAGAATTTATATCATTGATCAGGCATCTGTCCAACTAGAATGTGAGGATGAAAACACCTGGTGATTAGCCCGTAGAGTAAGAAGTGCTTACAGTAGTATGTTTTTAAGTTGAATCTGGTCTACCAGTGCATAGCTGAAGCACTCAGCTACTCACGCAAATGAAAATATTTTGAAATATGCGCATCGTATACAAGGCTTGTTTTGGGGAGACTACCTCGTCCCTTTCATGCTTCAGAGAGTTAACACAATATATGTGGAAACTCATCATGCAACATGGACTGTAACTTTTATTATTCAGGGCCCTATAGATTTCAACTTTTATGGACATGTAAACATCTTCATAAGCTAAATATAAAATGCGGTATAAACTTCGTAGATGTTCATTAAGGTGTTAAAACATTCACCCAGGAAGTCATCCAGAAATCTGCCTGTCGAGAAAAAAGATGAGGGGAGACGTGTGCCAGAACTCTCCTTTTTTTTCCCCCCTGCTTTCCTGCTGTGCTTTCTGCTTCTCATTATGCTTTAACAAGGAGACCGTTCCAAACTGTGTGTGAGATGAGTCCAGGCATGCCAAGTCTGTACTGTCATTTTTTTTTTAAAACTGCAGTGGAACTGGGTCATAGTATCACCCCTGAAGGACTGTAGTATAACCGCACACCAGACACAGTAGCCTTGGGGTAGGATCCAACCCTGCTGGGAAGCTGAAAGACTAGTGATAGCTCTGGGCAGCGCTCTGAGATTTATTTATTTTTTCCTTTTTGTTTGTGCATTTGGGAAGTTTAGTGTCCCATTTTCAGAATCATTTGCTGTTTTGTAGTATTAATTTCTTTGGACTTGTTCAAATTAGAGCAATGACTGGCATTTATTTAGATTCATTTAAAAAGAACATCTCTTCATGATTTTATCAGTAAAACACTGAAATACAGCTCCCGAATGCCAAACTGACAGCAAAGAAAAAAGAAAATCATCATCACAGAAGCGTTTTTTGTATGGGGAAATAATAATATAATATTAATATGCTGCTATTCTGAAGATCTTCAGAATAGCAGCATGGTAACCTACTAATTAACTGATTTGTTTGTTCTGTATTTGAACTTGAACTAAGCTGAAATTATTAGAAATTTCTTGGAGAGCTTCAGGGTCTTCAGTTTCTGTTTATTTTCCGGACCCCTGCAGAGGTTCGCTTGCAGGTTGAAGAACTGGAGTCAAACATGACTGTGGAAGAGTCCGGTCCAATCCGACTAGGCTGCAGCATTCCCTCACAGTCATCCCGAAACTCCCGCTTCTCCGTGTCCTGGTATGTAGAGCGCCCTAAAAACGACAACAATGAGGATCAGCCAGGGGAAGAAGAAGAAGGAGACCGGGAGTGCGTGTTCTCCATTGGACATGATGCCGTTTTTGGAAATGGAAACTGCAGCCCCATAGAGGAACCCGGGCCAAATTCTCGCTTGCAGTTTGAGAGGATGGCCTCTGATCAGTACAGCCTGACCATTCAAGGGGCCCGGTCAACAGACGGGGGCCGATACTACTGCCACGTCGAAGAGTGGCTGCTCAACCCCCGCAACGTATGGTACCGCCTGGCCACCAACAATTCTGGGTACACTATTGTCAATGTATTACAACAAGGTAAGCTCGTAAAAGACAGAATCTTTTGATCTGTCGTGACACTGAAGATTGCATAAAGCTATACTTTTATCAATGGCTGCCTTCTAACAGCATACTGGTAATTTATTACCAATTAGCTACTGCTTATTTGGAAATCTAGGCTTATCGTATGTATTGTCACACTGTGCAGTCCTAATATCTCCTAATATGTGTTTTAGTGCAGGCAAATGGAAACTAATAATAAGCAAGTTATGCAGCTCTTAGTTACTTTTTTTTCTCGTAATTTCTATCTTGTGGGATCTGGCTTCCTCAGTTGCAATTAACAAGTAAAAATGAGAGCCAGACATGGCCGCTTACTGTTTAGCACTGAAGCTGAGTCATTTACAGTGTCAAAAACTGTGCTGGTATTTAAAGCAGTAAAATAAATCAAATTACAAGGCTCAATAAATAAGAGAAGATGATTTAGAAGTGCAAAAAGTGCAAGCTGTAAGAGACCTGCACTCTGTATTTATCAGTACTCAGCTATGTTTATTATTAACCCTCTGAAGTCTGACTCACATTGTCCTGTTCGTTGGTTCCCCTGGTTTCATTGTGTAAAAATGCTTGCGTAATCTCATTTCTAATGAGTACAATCTGGTTATATACATCTTTTATTCAGTAAATTCTAGCCTATTCAAATGTGCTGCAGTGACGCCAGGTGAACTTCTAAAAGTTTATGACTACAGACAGAAAAGAGAACAACTCTGAATGTTCTCTATTTACAGTCATTAAGGTCATTTTGTTTTTCTCCATTACAGAGGGCCACATCATTTTCCTTACTTCCAGATATATACACGCTGATCAAAAAGGCACTGAGCTTATCTAGGAAAAATCTAAGTTCCTTCTGTTTTTGCCAAAACTTGGTCAAACTATTTTTAAAAGCCGGAAATCCTGTTAATTATTGTTTTACACAAATTCTGAGAGGTGTAGTTTTCAATTTCTTTTTCCCCCCACTTATTCTCACATAACCACATATTCATTCATGTGACATCATAGCAGCTTACATATGCTGATACAGCAGCTTCTCAGGTGGAAGAAAGAAATATAATATGTATGTATATATATCAGCAAATGGTGATATTTTGACACATGAATGAGAAACTTTTGAAAGAATAAAACAACTAACGTGTTTATTTTCTGCCAACAGTGTCCACCGTCCAGTCAGTGGTGTGCTCCAATAGCTCCCTCTTCTACTTTGTCTTTTTTTATCCCTTCCCCATTTTTGGCATCCTCCTCATCGCCCTGCTGCTAGTCCGCTACAAGAGCCGCAACAACAGCAAGAGCCAAGAAGGCAAGAACGGTGCTCCCTTACTGTGGATTAAAGAACCTCACCTCAGTTACTCTCCCACCTGCCTGGACCCGCCAGCTCTCAGCCTGCACCCCGGCTCGGTCGACTAAGCAAGGGTCCTGCCCGACTGCCTCGCTTAAATCGTGGATTTAGCCTACACTATGCCAGGGAGCAGATCTGGACTCCACCTTCAGACCTTACTGTCGTTCACTGCTGTGTTGAATTAGTCAATCAGTTGATCAGTTTGAAAATTCACACCCTGGTGGCTGTCTGTTTTATGTTAAAAAAGTGTGTGTGTGTGTGGATGAGGTTGTGTCTAGTGTGTAAGCACAATTAACTGTGCACGTGCAAAGTATGGGAAAGGAAGTATCATGAGGCTCTCTCATTTTCTTTTTGTTTTGTCTTTTTTTTGTGAATCTTAATTTCTTAGTTGCATCTTTATTACTCTGAATATTCGTCTATTTTTCAAAAGAGTGCGGGGAGGGAAAAAAACTGTGCACATGAGATCACGGGCCAATTTAGGAAGAACATTTAAGAGAAGGAACTCTATAATCAACTCTGGCATTAAGAGTATGCCAAAAAAAAGTCTCAGCACTGATCCAGGAGCAGCTACAGCCTTGCCCACTATGCTGGTTGCCATAGTGATGCTTTGCGCCCACTGACTTCGTAGCTGCCGACTTGGTTGCCAGGCTGCATAGAGACAAAGGCTAGGACACACAAGTCTGTGTCCTAAGTGAGGATGTGTGTATGTGTGTTGGCCCACCTGCCTTCACAATGAGTTTAGCTTGGCAGACAGAAACAGGTCCTGGTGTGCCACTTAAACACTGCCAGACACTCTGGCCTTAGTGGGAGACTGTCCCACTCTTCTTCTCCCAGAAAAGAAACTGCAAGCGAAAGAGTGGGAGATGGGGAAATTATGGAAAATAAATGAACAGCTCCCTCCTGCTGAGGATATATGTACTTTAACACAAGTGATTTTTTCTCAGTGCCAAGTCCTCCTTATTTCCTCAACAGCTACTCTTTGAAATTTTAAAGAGGGGGGGGGGGGGTTCAAAGGCAGATTGTAAATACGTCTTCTTACCTCCTGCTGTGGATTTATGGGACTTGTTGGCAAAAACAAAAGAAAAAAATGTACTCATGTTGAATCAGTTGAGTTGTCCTGGTTGAATTTCCACATTCTTGATTGAAATTGAATTCTTGCACATTTCTTTGAATTCCCCCGTACGACCACGAAGTCCTACATCTTTAAAAGATATCAGATGCATATTTTTTTTAAGGGATTTGTATAGCGCCACACTGAAGATTAAAAATGTGTAGATGTATCATAAACCACTAAACACATTATCTGCACATCAGAAGACCAGTTTATGATGACAAATGTTTGACTTTTGTGATTATTCTAAGGTTGTTGTTTTTTTCTATTTATTGTTTTATACTGTTTTGCATAGCTTTGTAAGATTTTCTTTTTTGCTTTGAATTTCAAAAAAGAAAAAAAACTGCTTCTGCTTGTGTTGCCAGGCAACTGCACCAAGCACATATGTCAATAGCCTGTGTGTTGACAATGTGGTAGAAGTAGAAATGCTAGATTTGTCCTGCGCATTTCATACCAGGTTGTCAAGTTCGGTCAGTGTCAAAACACTGTATATCTATAACTATAATGAAATTTACTGTGGCTTTAAATATACAATAGTTGACCAGGCAAGTCACAAAAATAGATTCACGTAAATGCTTATTCAATTTTTTTTTTTTTTTTTTGCTTGAGTCGCATTTATTTAGTGAAGTGTGATGTAACACCTTAGGTAGGATGTTTGGTCAAAGACAGCGGAACTGTTTAACATGTCTTCTAATCAAGGATTCTGGCTGAAGGCATCCGCTTCAGCTCCCCTGACGCAAGGGAGAAGGATTGAAAACCTCTGTTGCCTTCTCTGGAGTGCCAGGGGAGGTGTGAAATCCTCTATCCAATGTGGGCCTAACCCCCATTCACTGCCAGACTGGACATGAGAACTCTTGAGAAACGTGACATTATTGTCGTCTCAGTCGTGTCAACGTGTATATTGCATGACAATATTGCAGGAGGAAATTTGATGTTTTGTAAACTTCGAACTCTGTGAATTGTGTTCGTGTGACAGAGCCCAGCCCAGCCCCTCCCCCGCCCCCACCCCAAACTTCCTGAGCCAAGAGCGAATACGAAGCCCCGGCCCCAGTCATCATTTACGATATCTGACTGCCAATTCTACATGCCCTTTGAGCCTGTGAAATAGATCATTTCAAGAATGGGTGTTGTGGAGACTGTGTTTGATATTTATTGCTCCTATTCGTCTTTTTAATGCTTTGCTTTTATGCAGCATTTCATTAAACATATTTATGTCAAGAAAAACAAAAAAGAAGCTACAAGCTACAAGTATGTTTCCTATACTGTGACACGAGCTACACAGCTTCCTAGTTTTTGTTTTTTTTATTTTCTCCAAATGATCCTTTTCAAGTAGACAATACCATTTTAATCTGAGTGAGGCTGGGAGTTTGAAATGTGGTGCATGTGCAGCAAATACAGCTACAACTAACCTGATCAGTGTCATAACAGAACCTGGAGCATCAACTAGCCGTCCATCCGTTATTGCCAACATGATTGGATAAACACATTTTTGCGGATCATATCCTATCCCGGGTCAGGTGCAAGGTGCTCGGGGGAGAAAAAATGTGCCACACAGTGGAAACGAGACAAGTAGTACCAGCTCAAAGGCCAGCAATATAATGAGGCAACATTTTGATTTTTGAAACTAAGCAAATTCTACATGCATAAAACTGGCCTGTTTTGTATACATAGCAAATGACTTCCCCTTTTTTTTGCATTATGATTTCTCAATGGTCCTAATTTTCTAAGTGTTCTCTCACATGAGCTTGCCTAACAAAGACCTCGGTGGTCAAAATATTGCCTTATTATTTTTGTGTTTGTTTACGACTACATCTCTTGACAAGATTTAAAAAAAAAACAACCTCACAACAGGAAGGAAGTCAGTGACATAAATAACTGGTGTGGTTTGACAAAAATGGTTTCCACTTCTTATGGGCTTGCGCTATCGTCAGCGCTAAATCAAAAGCTAAGAAGGAAAAAACAAAAAGTCTACATGAACTCATTTGTTGGTTGAGTGATTGCCTTTTATGAATCTCAGACATTTCCAGGGATGCTGGATGGGTAAATGGTGCCCACAGAACAGCTGCTTCGGCTTTAATGTGTAAATCCCACAATCTGAGACTTAATTCATGCAACATTAATTGTATCTTTCTAGACTTTAGCCAGGAAGTGGAGGATGCGGTTGTGGTTTTTCATGTCACATTGCTCAGTACCATCAATAGCGCTGTACACTCAGTCTCTAGTGTTTCTGTGGTAATAATATCACCCATACCTCCCAAGATCTCTCCACACATTCTGACAGTCTTGTAGCTGTGTTTTGAGGGCTGCATGTTCTGGCTGTGTGCTGGCTCCGGATTTAGGTGTAAAACAGTGTGTGTTGATGTGTTCAGTTGAACCAGTGATGCTTTATTTTCACTGATGTATTTTTATATGACCATGGTTAATTTATTTTTCCTTATGTTATTCTATCGAATAGTTACCATTGTGACCATTGAAGAGACACTTAGCTATTGTCAGTTTATTGCAATAAAAATACATTGATTGCCTCTTCCTGTTTTGCTTCCAACCGTATACATTTTGCAGAGTTTGGAGATGTGTCATTAAACCGATATATCTATCAGTTCTTTTCACAACAGTCACGACTTGCTGAGCTGCTTTCTACACCCTTGCAAAACATCTACATTTGCTTTAAATGATACTAGCACTATAGGAGGCATGGTTTTTGTTCAGTTAGTGTAAGATTTTTGTCCTTTGCTGGGCAACAGTTACTGTATTCTGTATGTTCTGTGTTTATTTTATGAATGTTTATTTATTCATTTGAGTTTGTGCGTAAAAGGCATTTAATCATCATGTTAAAGTATGTATGTAGATCGATATGTTTTTGGACCCTTTTTTTTTTTGTAGTTTCACCTCTGTATACCATTACAGTGAATTTTAACCAAACATTCAATTAATGTGATTGAAGTGCAGACTTTCAGCTTTATATCAATTGATTTATCAAACGCACAGCATTAACAGCCAGTTTTATATAAAGTCCTCGATTGTCAGATGCTCAAAGAAAAGTGAACAATTGACAATCGTTTTTAAATTATAATATATACAAGGTATGAGGTCCAACAAGATGTAGATATAAGTGGAGGATGAGGAAAAAAACAAATCTACCACTGTTGTCAAAATCTACAGTCAAGAGATGCTTTGCTGAATGGAAATACAGATTTTACAACAATGTGCAAACCACTGACTAAAAGATTAACTTGTACCAGAATGATGAGAAGAGAAAAGGGTGGAGGAGACAAACTGCTCATAGTCTGAATCCACATTATCTCAAACATGGTGGAAGCAATGTGATGGCCTGGGCATGTATGACTGCCAATACCAGTGAAAGTGATGGGATTAACTCTGAAGTTTACAGCTCTTTGCTCATATTCAGCTGCAAAGCTGATTTAAAAAGTGCTTCACAGTCTAAAGGGATAATGACCTAAAGCATTCTGCATAACAACCCAAGAGTTTATGTGATGTTCTTCAATGGCCAAATCAGTCACCTGATCTAAACCCATCAGAGGATGACTTTCAGTTACTGAAGACAGAACTAAAGGCAGAAAGATGAGCAGCTACCAAAAGCGGATGCAGTAAAGATCTAGCAAAGCATCTTTGCTAGATCAAACAAAGGACCAAACATGGCATTGGGTGATGTCCATGGGTTCTAGGCTTCAAAAGGATTGAATACTTTTGTTAAACCTCTTGAATTAAAGCTGAAACTCGGCACTCCAATCACATTTATAGTAAAAACATGTTGCGGTGGTGTACGGAGAAAAAAATTACAAAACTTGTATCATAACTGTAAGGTGGATCTTGGAGATCCTCACGCAAATTAACCAGCAACTTAAAAAAAAAAAAAACACTTCTGCAGTTACATAACTCCAACACAGGTGGAATTTCTCAATCTTTTACCATCACTCCATCAAACACTGCAGCAGTAAACTATCTTCAGTCAGTCTATGCCATTTGTTTTTCTCCCAAATTCATATTTACCTGTTATAATGCACAGGAATACCCAGTGATGCCAAGAACAAATTCTGAAATTATCTCCATAAAGCATGGCCACAGAAAAAGAAAGGGTGAGGGAAAGAAATTGTGGTTTGGTTTTCATCTGGTTTTGTTATTCATGCAGATTCTCAACTTGCCTGAAAGGGAGGCCACCGTTAAAGATCTGTTGATGTAGATAGCTAGCACACACTGTTAACACATTGTTGGTTGTTGGGTGTTTTTTTGTGTGTGTTTGTTTTTTTTTTCTGGCAAACTGTGTCGCAACCTCACAGGATGCAAAACACCAATTGTCCCCCTTTGAGCACTATTTCCCTGTCCCAGTTCCTTCAAGATTTCTGTGCTGTCTGTCTCCACTTTCTCAAGCATTCCCTCTATGAGGAAAGATGTGTTTTGCATACAAGTTACCAATAATCACAAATCCATAGTTCTTGCAGAGAATCTAGACACCTAAGGGCACACTTGGGCAGACAGTACTTAACGATCCAGAGCAGCAGGGCAGTAGTCGGGCAAATATATTATGATTTATTACCAATAGAAGAGAGAAAGTGCTGGAGAGAATGCAAAGAAAGGACATTTTCTCTTCTGCTTGCACTATGGTGAGCTTGGATGCATAACAAACAAGGACAGGGATAAAAATGTTTGAAGATGGATACAGATCATGTGTGAATTTCTACAGGGAATATTCGCCTGTGTGCAAAAACATGTTAGCTTAATCACGGAGCTTAGTATCTGCTACAGACAGGTTGTTTGGTTCTTAGAGAAGAGACATAAGGGAGGCAGAGCTGCAAAATTAACACCCTGTAAAGGGTTATTGGTAGATGAGGACTGTGTACAGCTTGTTGCACTCACTGTTGTATGATACCACATTGCTTTGTGTAGTATGACTCACTCGGTGATGTAAGGCTGAATCAGAAAGAACGGGCATGAAATGTTAATCTGCACATTTACTTCTCGAGACATTAGCGTGGATGATGGACAAGAGGCGGTAAAAGTAGAAAACAGATGTGCCACCTGTACTCTTGAAATTGCACTGTAATTTTCTATTGATGCCTCAGCAGCAGTCTTTAATCTGTGATCTGTGTAAAAGCTGCTTGAGAAAAGAATCAATAGCTCCATTCAAAACGTGTTTGTAAAGGTTGTCCGTTGGGGGGGGGAAAGGTCAAGAGATTATCATGGACACTTACAGGCAAATGATGTACTGCAGAAGACACCTCTACTGACAAACCAACAACAAAAACCCTGATGGCCCCACATCATTCATTATAGATATAAAACATTCAAACACACACTGAAATATTCTCATCTTATTCATAATTGATACACACAAAATGAGTGTACTTCCACTGGTTCGGCTAAGATGAAGTAAACTGGTGCTAAGGTTGCTGCAACATTCGCTTGGGACCCCAGCATTTAGTCTCTCAATTCTCAGAGGAAGCCGGGAGATTCAGATGCAGACCTAATTAAGATGAGCTTTTAAAGCTTGATGGATGGAATTGCCTTGCAAAATATTTGGTTTTTGTGAAGAAAAAAAATGAAGAAAGTCCACTTAATCTCTTGAGCTTTTCAAAGCACACAGGACTTTTGACTATGAGAAGGTTTGTTTGCTAGATGTATTTTAGAACGAAGCTTTAGTGAGCGGGAAGAGCAGGGGTGAAGGTAGCGCTGAGAGAGTTTTTAAAAAGACTAGTGCTACCCATTTTATGATGCTGGAAGTACAGCGGTGGTAACATACAACAAAAATAAAGGTGAAGCTTTGCTATATACACATTTAGTGTCGCATTTACACCATGAAAAGCGCCTAAATCAAGTGCGCTGAGGTTGGCGGGAGCATGTATTGCACAAATTTGATCAGCTTTAAAATCATTTCGTTTAAAATAAAAACTGTGTCAGCCAGAGGAGGCTGCTAAATAGAGGCAGAGGAGATTTCTCCTCGTCTGTTTTCTAGAGGCATGAAGGAGATCAAAACATGAAAGAGTAATTGCTTGAAATAAACTATTACCCAAATTTCAGTATAATTTATAGATTTTTTCTGCTCTTTAGACATAATCCATTCCAATTTTGATTAGCATGTTTGTTTTAACCCCCGCAAGGAAGGCAGGAGGGCAAACGACAGCCTGCATGTATGCATGAGTGTGTGTACATTGAATATACAAAGGTACTGGACCACACCTCTTAATCGTTGATGTTTTTAGTCCTGT